TAAGATACTAAAAAAAACCCAAACCTAACAAACATGCTCATGACATCTTCCTTCTCTTCTTTGTGCAGGCAAGCTCAAGCTGCAAGAATGGAAAAGGCGAACCAAACCTCAGTAAAGGAGTTCATCATCGTGGGATTCCCCAACCTCAGGCTGTTTAAAATTCTTTTCTTCCTCATTCTTATGGTAATCTACGTCCTGACACTCATGGGCAACACGCTGATCATAGCCTTGGTGTGGAGGGATTGTCGCCTACATTCCCCCATGTACTGGTTCCTCTGCAACTTATCCTTTTCAGGTTTTTGGTTCACCACCGTCATCCTCCCCAAAACCATGGAAAGTATTGTGTCAGACAACCACATGATTTCTTTCTCTAGCTGCATCACTCAAACTTATTTCTATTTCTTCCTGGGCACATCTGAGTACATCCTAGTGGCTGTGATGTCCTTTGATAGGTACATTGCCATTTGCAAGCCGTTGCATTACCCCATCATCATGAGTGGACAGCTGACGCTGCAGTTGGTTATTTGCACTTGGATGGGAGCATTTGCATCAGTTTTGTGCCCCACCATACTTGTGTCCCAGTTACCATTCTGTGGCCCCAATGTCATCAACCATTTCTTCTGTGACATAAGGCCTCTCTTGCAGCTGGCTTGTGTGGACACCAGTCTCATTGAAAGGGTCAACTCCACATTTGCATCTCTGGTTGTGCTTAGCTCACTGTTCCTAACAACAGTGTCCTACTTCTATATCATCCACACTATCCTGCATATCCCATCTGCCATAGGACGCCAGAAGACATTTTCCACCTGTGCAGCCCACATCACTGTTGCTTCCATCTTCTACAGCTGCTCTATTTTCATGTACGTCCTGCCCAAAAAGCTGCACTCCTCAGACTTCTACAAATTGGTGGCTTTCCTTCACACTGTCATCACTCCTTTGCTCAACCCTTTCATATACACACTGAGGAATGAGAAAGTCCAGATTGTATTTAAAGAGACTCTCAGACAGAGAACTGGGAATGTTTCAGAAAGGTTCTGACATGTAAATTAGGGCTAACATTAGGAAATTAGGAGACTTTAAAAGAGGGTTAAGAATTATGTTTTTAAAATTCTGTCTGTGTCTAATATCGTTGCATTTTTAGGAAAATAAGTCTTCCCTTCCACTCCAAATATTCTTCCCAAATTAATTCATACAGCTGAGTGAAGGGACAAATCAGACAGCAACTATGGTTGTGCTCTTTGCCTTCCTGAGAATGTTTGATCCAAATTACCCCTTTGTAGCTACCAGCTGGTTTTCATCTGAGATTCTTAAATTTTCTGAGGCAGACAAATCATTATGCATTACAGAAATTTCCCTTTGCTTTTCATTTTTTCTTCCCTGTGCAAAGCATGCATTGCTTGCGTTATTAACATGGGACTGTGTTACAAGCACAAGGCTGGGATGCAGTTAATCTGTATTCTGGTAGGAGTTCAGAATACTGCCTCAGAGTCCCCACTGAAATGCAATGGTGTTTCCATTGGAAACCTTTCAGGATCTTTTGAAATGCCAGCTTATGTTACCCAATGAGCTACCTACTTGTTTGATTGGAGCAGGAACAAATCATTGTATCAGACGTGAATTTCCATATCTCCTAGTCTCCTACTGGATTGATCACTTAATGCTGCAGTGAAATTTGTAACACTGAGCTTCAAAATCAGTTACAGACCAACCTATCCATAAAGGAACTGTCTCGTAGCCCTTGTCTGTTTGAAGTTGTTGTTTTTTTTTTAACTCAAAAGCACAGAGACCTTTGACAGCAATGCCCAGGTCAATTTTTTTTTAAAAATTGTTAAGAAACTCATATTATAGATCTCTCATCGGAAGAAATTTTGGAAGTGACTTTTTTACCCATCTCCTGTTCATTACTGGGGGTATTAGTGATCTAGGTATTCTTGAATACCTATCTGGGCCCTTCTCTCTTACTTAGGTACCTATAGATTTCCCTGCAAACTGTTCCAACCACCCAGTGACAAACTAACCAGTACCAAAAGCCTGTTCATCCATTCTCTTGGAAGGGTAGCCAAGAGAGGCAGCTCTGTGTGGTTCAATGAGAAGGATGCTTCTTCCCTGGAAGGAGAAGGGGTTGTGGTTCCATATTGTTCCCATCTCAGAATAGGACAGACACTTCTCCAGTGCTCTTTAGTGATTTTATCTAAAACCTATTTAAAGAACAAGTGCAGTTGTTCCACTTGTAGTGAAGGACTGGAGAGGGCATCGGATTATGCCTGACTTTTGGCCTGGTGGGAGAAGCATTGTGCTAGGAAGCCAGGTGTACAGGAGCAAACCCCTTTGCAGGTAGGCAGGGTCAAAATGAGGTCCCTGGCTTTTGGTAAGGAACCAAAACACAGGACTCTTGAGTTAGAAGATGAGGGTGTCTCTTTCCCACCTTTTGGGTATGTGTGCAGGAAGGAAGAGGATCCCAAACTGTGTGGAAGTAAGAAAAGCTGCAGTCATGTGGATGCATATGCACCTTTCGGTTTGTAAAACGAAATAAAATGTAACCCCAAGAATTTCTGAATACTAACCTGTATGGTTAGTGTGTATCCATGGGTACTTGGTAGGAGTTGTCAAGTGAGGGAGGTGTGAACTAGGAGAGTCATTAGATGAAAAGAAATAATTCAGAAAGACATGAAGAGACTTCCCAAAGATAAGAGAGGAGCAAGCTAGTAGCCAGGTCCCAATGCTAGAAGCTCTCCTTTGAAAAAGGGGAGAATATCTCACAAAAAGTTCATTTGAGATGGTGGGCCATTCAATGAATCTCCCTGAAGTTGCAACTATAGTATAAATTGCATAATGTATACATATGGGATGGTAGCGCACTAAATCTCAGGTTTTTTGTGCTACTTTTATTTGGGAGGGGGACAGACAGTGGGGAGAATACAGACTTTCTAGGTGCGACTGGGAACGAAACTGGACCGCATTTGCTGGTTTCTATACCAATGTGCCTTGCATTCCTTGGAGCGATTAATTAACAAAAGGAGTGCAAGGCCAATGACGTCACATCAGTTTAACCTGTTGATTCATATTGGGAATGCTAGCTTTTTCAGGGCATACAGGCTGTGAAAGAAATGCAGACACATTAAGAAGCACTTGGCTCCAGGAGCCTTGCCCTGTCCATGTGTGATGGTGAGGTGTAAACCAAGAATTCATGCCTGAGTGAGCCATCATAAATGTGGTGTTTCTGTTCTCAGGAGAAGAGGTCCTTAATAGATAAACAAGAGGGAGTTTATACTCCCAGCTCCCTTTTTCAGGTTTACTTCTGATGAGTAGTCACAGGCAGAGCTCTGGGGTTTTTTTCGAGAGAGAGAGGACTAGGAGGGGGACAGTTGTGTGAGTAAGGAGGAATCTTATTTTTCTTTATTACATTTTACAGTTCACTGAAAAGACATTAGCTGTTTGTGGTGAGGTAGTTTTGGATTAAAACATTTGAAACCAGCTCCACATAAAGAAATAGTTAGGCTGTAGTTAAAGAAGGACATATATTGGAGTCCTATTAACACAGTTTCTATTTATCAGGAAGAAGTTTGTATTTCTAACATGAAAATACATTATGAAATTATGACCATTCTAATTCTGTTGTTTGCTAGTTTCTCGGCATCTATCTGTGCCAATGTGCTAGGTAGTTTATACTGAAACCCAAACAAATGTGTAACTCCATCTAGAAAACCATTTCAAGATCATTTAAATGAGTGACCTTTCAGGTAATAAAATAAGGGAAGTGGAGAAAATCAGCAGCTGATATGTCAACAGTTTCCTTATAGTATAATGTACCCCAATTCTGATTAAAGGACAAAAACCAAGAAAACAAACAAAAAAAACCCTCCAGGTGCTTGGAAGTCCATCATCTCCATTCGGAAATGTTCTCCTCGTTTGTCATTTTTTCCCCTTTATGTTGGATATTCAGTCAGGGATTTTCTCTTTGACAGTCATGCATTGGGTATTGCTCTGCTCTTACTCAATAAAGCATGTCTAAGAGGTCTTTTTTTTTCCTGCTTTGGCTGTTATAAATGATATTCTAAATGTCATTATCTCTCCTCATTGATTAGAGTGGTAGGAGTGGGTTCGGGTTGGGTTGAAAGCTTGCAACAAAGTGCTGTGTAAACAATTCCCATTAAAATTCAGTAGACATCCACATCAAACTTCCCTTATAATCCTTATAATTCTTTGAAAAACCTTATCTGAAATTGTCCAAGCTCCTTTATTTCAGTAAGATACAGGGAGGTGGGCAAGGGGGAGGAAACATGCTCATGGTATCTTTCTTCTCTTCCATGTGCAGGTGAGATAAAGCTGTAAAAATGGAAAAGGAGAACCAGACCTCAATAAAGGAGTTCATCATTGAGGGATTCCCCAAACTCAGTTGGTTTAAAATTCTTGTCTTGTCTTCTTACTTCTTCTGGTAATCTATGTACTGACGCTCATGGGCAACACGGTAATCATAGCCTTGGTGTGGAGGGATTATCGCTTTCATTCCCCCATGGACTGGTTGCTCTGCAACTTGTCCTTTTCAGGCTTTTGGTTCACAACCAAATGAACTTGAGGAAGTAACAAGAGCTGCAATCATCTGAATGCATACGCGCTTTCAGTCTGCACTATGGTATAAGACTTAAGCCCAGGAATTTCTGTTCTCAGCATGCATCAATGGGGCCCTGGTAGGAGCTGTCACGTGAGGGATGTGTGGGCCAGGAAAGAGATGAAGGGACTTCCCAAAGATGAGGGGGAGCTGTATGGCAGAACCCGATGGGTTCCCAGTACCATGGAGCAGCTCGTAGCCAGGCCCCTACCTGGAGCTTTCCTTTGAAGAAGGGGGTGAATATATCACAAAAGTCAGCCTTACATTTTGAGATTAAACATTACTCAGTGCACACGGAGCACAAGGCACCTGAAGCTCTGTTGTCAGGGAAAGACTTAGGCCTGTATCAGTGCAGGGGCCTTGGATCTGGATCCCTGCACAAGTCAGAATTTCAGGCAATGTGAAAAGGGGAAGAGGAACTGAGAGGAGACCAGGCCCTCAGAGGCTTTTTGTACGGGAGGGAGTGAGGCAGGAGGCACTGTGCTTCTCTTGTACAATAGTAAGTCGCTGTGTCTGCCAATGTGAGTCTTGCAATCTGCAGCTTTGCTGTGGAGTCGTTGGTGGAAGGGGTCACACGCTCTTTGAAGTCATTCGCAATGTAGGTGGCATGCCCTGTCCTAAAGGCTGCCATCCACACCAGGCCTTTTCCATCAGCTTGACGGAGCCAGTGCATAAGGTAGTCGTTGATGTTGTAGCCAGAGGTGTCACAGGTGAGGATAATGGATTCCCCTGGCCGAGCAAACACCGAACCTGGCTGGGTTAAAGTGACCGCTCCCACAGCACCTGTTAAATAGGAAAAGCTGAACAATCACAGGAAGTGACAGTCTTCATCAGGCCAGGACACCACTCCGCATGCAGCAGACACTGCAGAGGAGAATGCCAGAGCCACACAAGTCATCGATTTCCTTCAAACCTAAACTACTCCCCAGTCGAACCAGAGACAATGTAATGGTGCTCACCTGGCAAGAGGCAGCATGAGAGAATGCAAAGATAATGAAGCAAACCCATGGTGGCTGGTCTCCCTTTGCTTTAGGCTAGTGGGTTAGGGTAAAATATTCCCTCTGCTGTAACAGCTCTTTCATACCCGTGGGTCTTATAGCCTGGCAAAGCAGGCAAATGATTTTGCATGTGAAAAGATGCCCTTCTCCATTTACACTATATTCTCCTCCCCTTCACCCACTTGCTCCCGCCTGGCCAATGAAGAACAAATCAATTTTCAGCATCAGTTTATTAAATCCTGGAAAAAGTGATAATTGAAGACATCTTCAAAATATGTTTTCTTCATTTCCAATCTATATTTGAACATTAGATGAGAAAAAGGAATGATGAGTGTGAAAAGCAGAGATGATACTTGTTTTCCTTTTCTTTGAAAGTGCTGCTCTTTGTTCTTCAAAATCTCCAAGTGTGCAATGAGAATTTTTTTTTCCCCCCAGAACGGATTTTTCTTTTGTTAGGACTCAGAAAAATGTGAATGAAAGAAAAGGAGAGAGGAGGACAGGTTTTTTTTTTCTTTATTAAATGTTACACTTCAATAAAGAGAGACCAGTGTTTGGGGCAAGGTAGGAATAGGGAAGTTTTGAATGATAACATTGGAAACCAGCTCCAGTTAAAGTAGTAATTAGGAAGAAATGCTCATGTTTCTAATCTGTAAATCCTTTATGCAATTTTGAATATTATAATTTTGTTGTTTGCTTATTTCTTGTTTCCATCTGTGGCAGTTTATATCAAAACCAAAGGAAATCTCTAGCTCTATTTAAGAAGCCAGTTAAAGATCATTTAAATGAGTGAACTTTTTGGACATACACAAATTAAAAATGTAAGGGGGGCAATTCAATAGCTACTGAGTCCATCGTTTCCTTATATTATAAAGTTACCTGACCTTGATTTAAAAAAAAACAAACCCAAAAAACAAAAAACCTCCATGTGATGGAAAGTCCACCATCTCCATTAGGAACTTTTCCCCTGGTTTTGAGTTCTCTTCCATTATGTTGGATATTCAGTGAGGGTTTTATCTTTGATAGTCATTCTCTGAGTATGCTCCCTGCATTGGCCCTCATAAATGATCTTCTAAATGCCATTAGAACTTCTCATTCATTAGTTAGGATAGTAGGGGTGGGTATGGGTTGCAGGATTGGAACAAAGTATTGTGCAGACAATTCAGTAGACACCAACATTTAAAGTCCCCATATAACTCTTTAAAAAAAGTCGTATCTTAATTTAGCCAAACTCTTTCATTTCAATAAAATATGGGCACAAATTATGCTGAAGGCATTTCCTTTTCTTTTTTATGCAGGGGTGCTCAAGATGCAGCTACGGGGAAGGAGAACCAGACCTCAGTGGAGGAGTTCATCAGTGCGGTGTTCCCTAACCTTAGTCAATTTTGAATTCGTGTCTTTCTCATTCTTCTGGTAATCTATGGACTGACACTCACGGGCAACACGCTGATCATAGCCTTGGTGTGGAGGGATTATGGCCTTCATTCCCCCATTCACTGGTTCCTGAGCAACTTGTCCTTTTCAGGCTTTTGGTTCACCATCCTCATCCTCCCCAAAACCATGCACAATCTCATGTCAGACAACCACAAGATTTATTGTGTCTGCCTGCATCTCCCAAAACGATCTCTATTTCTTCTTTGGCGCCTCCGAGAACATTGTGGTGGCTGTGACGTCCTTTGATAGATACGTTGTCAGTTGTAAACTGTTGCATTGCCCACCGCCATGAGTGCACAGCTGATGCTGCAGTTGGTGGTTTGCACGTGGAGGGGAGCATATTTATCAGTTCTGTGTCCCACCAATCTTGTGTCCCTCTTACCATGCTGTGGGCCGAATGTCATCAACCATTTCTTCTGTGACATAAGGCCTCTGCTGAAGCTGGCTTGTGTGGACACCAGTTGCATTGAAAAGGCCATCTCCACACACAGCCATGGGTAGTGCTCAACTCCCTGTTCCTAACAACAGTGTCCTACTTGTCCACCATCCACACAATACTGTGTAGCCCATCGACCAAAGGGCACCAGAAGGCATTCTCCACCTGTGCAGCCCACATCGTAGTTGCTTCCATCTTCTACAGCTCTTCTATATTCATGCACATCCTGCCCAAAAAACTGCACTCCTCAGAGTTTACAAATCAGTTTCCTTTATTCACACTGCCATCACTCCTTTGCTCAACCCTTTGAAATACACGCTGGAGAATGAGAAAGTGCAGATTGTTTTTCCTTCTTTGTTTTCTGTCTCACCGGGCACGCATTGCTTGCATTATGAAAATGAGGCTGCATTACAAGCACAGGACTGGGACGCAGGGGGTCTGTGTCCAGCCAGGAGTTCAGAACAGAACTCAGCATCCCCCTCCAAAACACAGAAATATTTCCATAGGAACCCATTCAGGGTCTTTGGAAATGCCAGTTATGTTACCCAATGAGTTGCCTACTTCTGCAATAGGAACAGAAACACATCACTGTATCCCATCAGCATGTCCACGTCTCCCAGTCTCCTACTGGATGCATCACAAGATGCTACAGGAAAATTTGAACACTGAGCTTCAAAATAAATTACAGACCAACCTATCCATAAATGAACTGCCTTCCTAGCCCTTGTACCACCCCACATCCCTCTTTTTCACATACAGATATCAGTACAGACAGTATTAACCACCCTGTAACAAGGTAGGCCAGAGACAGGCAATTATTTTGGGCAGAGGACCGCTTACTGAGTTTTGGCAAGCCATTGAGGGCCACGTGACAGGTAGCCAGGGGAAGATGAAAATTTATTTTCTAAATTTTTTAGGGGCTCTACAGGCCTGCTAGAATGGCCTGTTGGGTTGCATCCAGCCCACGGGCTGCATTTCGCCCACCCCTGAGCTAGGCAGTACCAAAAACCCTTGAATCCATTTCCTTGCAAGGATACTTGCCAAGAAAGGCAGCTCTGTGTGGTTCGGTGAGAAGGCTGATGATGCCCTGGAAGGAGAAGGAGTTTGGGAACCATGATGCACGCAGCTCCAAATGGGACAGTAAGTTCTCCACTGCTGTTTAGCCATTTCACCCAAACCTAGTTAAAGGGCAGGTGTAGCTGCTCCACTTCCAAAAGAGGTCTACGGAGGGCAAAGAAAGGTGTCTGATTGTGGCCTGGTGGGAGTGGCATTGTACTAGGAAGCAGAATATACAGGATCAAACCCCTTTGCAGAAAGGGGAGTCAAACTGGGATCCCTGGCTCTTTGGAACCCTCCCCCCCCCCAAACATGAGACTCTTAAGTTAGGAGGTGAGGGTGCCCCCTTCCCTCCTTTTGGGTATGCGGGCAGGAGGAAACTAGTACCCGAAGTCTGTAGAAGTAACAAGAGCTGCAATCATCTGAATGCATACGCGCTTTCAGTCTGCACTATGATATAAGACTTAAGCCCAGGAATTTCTGTTCTCAGCATGCATCAATGGGGCCTTGGTAGGAGCTGTCACGTGAGGGATGTGCGGGCCATGAAAGAGATGAAGGGACTTCCCAAAGATGAGGGGGAGCTGTATGGCAGAACTGGATGGGTTCCCAGTACCATGGAGCAGCTTGTAGCCAGGCCCCTACCTGGAGCTTTCCTTTGAAGAAGGGGGTGAATATATCACAAAAGTCAGCCTTACATTTTGAGATTAAACATTACTCAGTGCACATGGAGCACAAGGCACCTGAAGCTCTGTTGTCAGGGAAAGACTTAGGCCTGTATCAGTGCAGGGGCCTTGGATCTGGGTCCCTGCACAGGCCTGAATTTCAGGCAATGTGAAAAGGGGAAGAGGAACTGAGAGGAGACCAGGCCCTCAGAGGCTTTTTGTACGGGAGGGAGTGAGGCAGGAGGCACTGTGCTTCTCTTGTACAATAGTAAGTCGCTGTGTCTGCCAATGTGAGTCTTGCAATCTGCAGCTTTGCTGTGGAGCCACTGGTGGAAGGGGTCACACGCCCTTTGAACTCATTCGCAATGTAGGTGGCATGCCCTGTCCTAAAGGCTGCCATCCACACCAGGCCTTTTCCATCAGCTTGACGGAGCCAGTGCATATGGTGGTCGTTGATGTTGTAGCCAGAGGTGCCACAGGTGAGGGTAATGGATTCCCCTGGTCGAGCAAATGCAGAACCTGGCTGGGTTAAAGTGACCGCTCCCACAGCACCTGTTAAAAAGGAAAAGCTGAACAATCACAGGAAGTGACAGTCTTCATCAGGCCAGGACACCACTCCGCATGCAGCAGACACTGCAGAGGAGAATGCCAGAGCCACACAAGTCATCGATTTCCTTCAAACCTAAACTACTCCCCAGTCGAACCAGAGACAATGTAATGGTGGTCACCTGGCAAGAGGCAGCACGAGAGAATGCAAAGATAATGAAGCACACCCATGGTGGCTGATCTCCCTTTGCTTCAGGCTGGTAGTTAGTGTAAAAAATTCCCTCTGCTGTAACAGCGCTTTCATACCCATGGCTCTTATAGCCTGCAAAGCAGGCAAATGATTTTGCATGTCAAAAGATGCCCTTCACACTGTATTCTCCTCCCCTTCGCCCACTTGCTCCCACCTGGTAGGACAGGCACCCAGGCGATCTCACGTCAGACAGCAGGTCTGAAGTGGCCTCTCGCACATCGATGGCCAAACCCAATTAGCATGCACTGAGTCCTTGATTCTCTTCTTAAACCCTGTTCCTTGCTCTCCAGTATAGTCCCCATCTCATGCGATGAGAGGAAGGGACTGTATGCTTCCCAGTAGATCATTATTTCAATTCAACAGTGCTTTCCTATGTCTGCTGCCACCAGAAGCTGCAATTGTGTGTATGGAAGCCAGTAGTAGAAAACCCTATTGCTCTGAGACTGTCCTTCCGATCCCTGGTAAGGTGGAGAGGAATGCTTGTTTCCTCACATGATCTGAGATCTTGGGCCCTTCAGTGAGTCTCCCTGCAGTTGGCATTATAGTTGTATAATAAAGAAACAGGAGATGGTAGCACAATAGATCTGAGTTCTTTGTGCTACTGGTAGCTGGAAGAGGGGCAGGCAGTGGGGAGGACACAGACTTTCTAGCCATGGCTGCAAAAGGAACGGGAAGCCGCGTGCTAATCCCTGAACCAATGCATCTTGTC